AGCCCCGAAAGCTCACCAGCTACTTATCAAGGTTACGTTGAAATGGTCTCTCAAGAACATCAGCTTAGGTAGGAAAAAACAAAAAGAGCTTTCGTTGAGATACTTCGGATAAAACATCGACAATCGTCTGTAGCTTAACGTTATCTGAAATGTAAACAAATAAATATTGAACAAACTCCTCACCCGCAGCGACGTTACCAAATCAATATTTCTCAAAGGACCTCAAAGTATTCAACAACTAATTATTTTAATTAAAACTCATGTAACTTAGGCTAGAAAAATGCTGTAGAAGTGAGTCAGTCACTTAAAACAGCATATTAATAAATATTTTATAAGGAAAGTTGAAATATTCAAGTAGATTCCATTCGTATATGACATTTTATTACTATATTTGAGAATTTTATGTTGGAGCGAAAAAATATCGGTGGATTCCGCCGGGCTTCTCAATATGTCTGATTAGCACAAACACATGCTCGGTTTCGCGACGACTTCAACACTAGTCACAATTTAAATATAGCTATAAACAAACATAAACCCCTACATAACTGCCTTCATCAACCCATATCCACCCATTGATCTCTGAAAGCACCCTATTCTCTTCGGTCTCTTGCCTTTCTCATCCTACCAACCGCTTTGACATCGGTCCACCGCGTTGGCTGTCCGCTCACGTTACCGCGTCCAGTACGAGGTCTCCACTCCAGTATGCTTGTGCTCTATATTAGTAGGCAACATTGGAAGTCGTTGTGGCCTTAAGGATAAGACGTCTGGTGCATTCGTATGTAGCGATGCACCGGTGTTCGAATCCCGCAGGCGGGTACCAATTTTTCTAATGAAATACGTACTCAACAAATGTTCACGATTGACTTCCACGGTGAAGGAATAACATCGTGTAATAAAAATGAAACCCGCAAAATTATAATTTGCGTAATCACTGGTGGTAGGACCTCTTGGGAGTCCGCACGGGTAGGTACCACCACCACGTCTATTTCCGCCGTGAAGCAGTAATGCGTTTCGGTTCGAAGGGTGAGGTAGCCGTTGTAACTATACTGAGATCTTAGAACTTATATCTCGAGGTGGGTAGCGCATTTACGTTGTAGATGTCTATGGGCTCCAGTAACCACTTAACACCAGGTGGGCTGTGAGCTCGTCCACCCATCTAAGCAATAAAAAATAAAAAACATAAAATGCAAAAATACAAGGAACACTGTCAGGGGCCATTGTTTGTTCCTTACAACAAGATTCCACAAAAGGTTTAACCCACCAGCTTTCTCTGCGCCACTCTCCAGGCGCGAAGTAAGCTTTGCAATGTGCAAACGTGTGGAGACACGTGCCTAACAAAAGTTGAAAGGTAGTCTAATCTATTCCAAGCTTTAAGCTATTTTTATTGCGAATATCCTTAGAATAGATTCTGCGGTTTGAGCCCAAAAATCCAGACATATTTTCGTATAATATTGGTGTAGATTATTAGTATAGAGTATACCTATAAGAAAGTTTATAGATAAAAGCACATTGGTATAATGGTAAGTTGCCACACACCCCGATGTGGGTCCAGTCTGATACATTTTATTATTGCTTTGATATTCGCTTTTTTTAGTTAAATTTTTTAATAAGCGTTCAAAATGAAAGAATCTTGTTATATCAATAAAAATACGAGTCCACTGCATAACTGCTTTTGTTGTTTATTTAATTTCCGTTATAACTTAAAAAAACTTTCTATAATGCTATATAATTTTTTAGGTAGGAGGGATTACTGGTGACCCGGAGCCCTTTCAGATTGACCAGGACAGTTGGGCGAGCAAGAGCTCAGCCAGGAGGAGTGGGATCTGCTAACAGCTACCCGAGCGCCTCTGAAGGAGACCTAACAACTCAAGAGCGGCTGCTTCGCGAATATATCTATACTATAGGCTGCGCGGAGAATTTGCCCACTGAGTTTCTCGCCGGATCTTCTCAGTGGGTCGCGTTTCCGATCCGGTGGTAGATTCTGCGAGGCACTGCTCTTACTAGGGTCAGTGTTAGCAACACTCCGGTTTGAGCCACGTGAGCTCACCTACACACGTTAGGGTGAAGCTGAAATAGCCTCAAGGCTATCAGCATAGGTAGGAAAAAAAAGCGGAGAATCTCACAGAATACAATTTAACCAGTCATGATCGGAATTGATCTTAACAAAAGTTAACTAGCTTCCTATAATGGTTCCTAACTCAGAACATTACCCAGTTATCGCTACACATCTCGTTCCATCTCTCGATGCCTTAGTTCAGTTCTAACTGGCGACATGTACTTGCTCATTTTAAGCTCAACTCTAAAGCAATAGACGTTTCTCATTGAAGCTTATTATCATACAATGGCTGCTCTCGGTTATTACGCAACCTAAAGCTCAGACAAGTCCTTAACAAGCAATTACTGTATTGTAAATGCGAGTGTCGGATTTATGTGCTGTTTGTTTGATATTCAGGGAATTAGATTTTAAGGTTTCTGTACCGTGAGCAACGGCAGGGTTGGGTTTTGTTAAAGTGGGATAGGGGAGGAAGTGGAGAGGGGAGAGGCAATAATTACTTCAATATTTTTAAAAACCGACTTATTTAAAACAATTTAAATTAAAATCGTTTAAAAAAAGTTATAGATAAAAGTTATATAAATTGGCAAAAATCTTATTTTGCAAATTGAATAATGGAATAATCTATCAAATTAGTGTATTGTCATCGGTCCACATACAAACATACATACAAGTGAAGCTAATATAAAGCTAGTAAAAAGGTACGTCAGTGTATCTAATAATAATTAATGCATTATTATGTCATGGCTCCGTTTCGCGTGAAAACAAACTTATTTTTGAACCAGTTAGGCAAGGCTCTGCAGGAGTCAACCCTTACTGGTGGTAGGACCTCTTGTGAGTCCGCACGGGAGGTACCACCACCCTGCCTATTTTTTATTTTTTATTTTTTATTGCTTAGATGTGTGGACGAGCTCACAGCCCACCTGGTGTTAAGTGGTTACTGGAGCCCATAGACATCTACAACGTAAATGCGCCACACACCTTGAGATATAGTTCTAAGGTCTCAGTATAGTCACAACGGTTGCCTCACCCTTCAAACCGAAACGCATTACTGCTTCACGGCAGAAATAGGCAAGGTGGTAGTACAGTGCGGACTCACAAGATGACCCACCACTAATTACGCAAATTATAATTTTACGGGTTTTGATTTTTATTACACGATGTTATTCCTTCACCGTGGAAGTCCGTCGTGAATATTTGTTAAGTACGTATTTCATTAGAAAAATTGGTACCCGCCGGCGGGATTCAAACACCGGTGCATCGCTCGATACGAATGCACCGGACGTCTTATCTTTTAAGCCACGACGACTAAAGGGCTATCCCAGCTTCTCACGGACGGAGAGGTGAGCTCACGGGATCAGCCTGAGAGAATTTGCTAACACTAACCCTAGCAAGAGCAATGCTTCACTGAATCAACCACCGAATCGGAATCGCGACCCAGCGAGATGAGAAGAGCCAGCGAAAAGTCGGCGGCTTATTGTGTATACTCTCACGTAATACTTTGTTAAGATCAGCTCAAGCATCTCATCATATCATTAAAATAATCTCTATAACTTACACAGTCAGAATACGAAAATAAAATTAAACCAACGATGTATTTCATTTTAATAGATTAATTCTCTTAATTCGATCTCTGACCTTGTGACCCTTGACCCGTTAATTAAGTTTCGTTAAGCCTGCACTTTCTAGAATGATCTATCAAATTTGACGCGTTAATTGACAACTCTGAACATAAATAGTATCTCTTCTATGTGAAGGTGTTTTTTTTTTAAATCCATATATTAGTTGCCGGGATCGGAGTACAGTGAAGACAATATTCTCCAATCCCATTTAGTATCCAGGCGCTGTTATTAAAACAATCTGTAAAACTCTCTTAGTGATAATAACATTTTTTTTTAGCATTTATTTATTTTTTGTCCGATATCCCTCTTTTGAATATGTGCGTGCGGTTTACCAAAGGAAACTTTCCAAATTAAAATCATCTTGATTCTTTTATGTACAATAGATAAATAAATAAAATTAAATATACCGTAAAGTCATCATAGATTTCGGCTGTTCTTAGGCAGTTAGAACAGCGCCCCTAGCGGCAAATGTAGGTAAACGTTCCAACTGCATACTAATTTGAGTTAACTTTTATGCCATCGAGAACGTTAATAAGCGCACTGTTTAGTAGTTAAAACCTCCAACACGCTTTCCAGAGATAAGTTCGGGAGAGACTTGCTTATTAGAGCTCATTAGTGCTAAATTTTGTTCTTGACATCGTCCACAGAGAAACGTCTGGTCGAAATATCAATGATTTTAATAAAACCACGCCCGTAGCGCCCTCATGGAACACGAGGCTTTCGCAGCAAAAATAAAATACTTTTACGCTATAATCAATCGTGTTTTTATCATCATCTTATTGTTTACGACATTTCGAATGCTACCGTATTAGATAGTATACTAAATACGACTTGTTTAACAAAATAATATTAGCTTAATAAAGTTTTTGAAACGTCTGAAATAATAAATGATGATCCGAGATTAAACGTTAAAGAAGTTTTAAATATGTATGTCTACGACTCTCGAAAATCGCAGAAAATTCCAGAAATGTGATATGTACGACTTAGATTGTTATTAATGACCTTTTCTCAATTTAAATGTTTCAAAAGTACGTAATGGTTGGTAGTTAGAATTACAGCGCCATCTATTAATACATTATCAAAGCAGCACTGCATTTTTTTGTTCTGTGATACAATTATCAATTTATAGTGACATCTATTGTTACTTAGAAACACTACATTGAAAGTCACTTCATGATTCTTGAAGCAATGGTCAATTATACCGCTAGATGTCACTATACTAAAAATAGTTTAACACAAAGAACTATCTTTTTATCTAATTTTGGCAATCTTGTTTTATTTGAAGTCAAATTAGTTTACTGTGATTTTAGTAGAAAACAAACAAATTCCTTCACTTAACAGTCTTTATTTAATACTAATGATTTACAAACATAATACTTATCTGAATACAAATAAACTACTACCTAACTTCCTACGTAACAACACTACGGAATATTAATATGGATTTTATTCATTTACAACATCATACTAAGCAAGCATTTCGCTTTCAATTATTCTCTTTTTGCTTATAGTTGTTATAAATATGTGATTATTGAAATATAACTGTAACTGAATTCTTATTTGAATGCTAAAAATGTAACTGGATTTTTATTTCTCCAATAAATCTATATTTTTTAAAGATCAAGAAGATAAGAAAGTTGAAGAATACATTAATTACCTCTTTTCAACTTTACTATCAAATTATTATTCTACGTCTGGACTTGCGTATTTAGGTCCTACAAAACAGAATGTTCGTAATTAATTTCAGTGACATATTATTACGTGAAAAATCGATTACTTTTCGATTACACACTAAAAATAAATGACATTACTTCTTTAACTCAAAAACAAATTTTTGGTTACAATACTTTCTATTGGTGGCTTCATGCAAAACGCTCTTAATGCTCCACCTATTACCAATATTATTATTTTTACGTTTATTTAGCTTCTAGTCAAAAACTCATTGGCAATGGCCTTCCAGTCCGTGGGGTCTCCGTTCTCTGTGGGTTTCGTTTTCCTGATCTTTCGGAGCAGTTCCCATCCATTCGCTTTCTCAGTGGACGTGACATACGTGTTTTTCGGGTCTTGTTCCAGAGTGTACGCGCCTAAGATCAAACTCTGGACCAGACGAGCCGAGATCAGGGTCTGAAATACAACGGATTCGTATATTGAAACAATGTACAGTGAAATCAAATTTGTTTGTAACGCAATTTTTTTTTCCTACCTATGCTGATAGCCTTGAGAGGCTATTTCAGCTTCACCCTAACGTGTGTAGGGGAGCTCATGGGGCTCATACCGGAGTGGTGCTAACACTGACCCTAGGAAGAGCAGCGCTTCGCAGAATCTACCGCCGGATCGGAAACGCGACCCACTGAGAAGATCCGGCGAGAAACTCAGTGGGCTGTGTCTGTGGGTGTGGTGCCTAAAAGCACCGTTAATGGATCGGGCGCATTCTTTGTAACCCAGTGGATTGTATCAATAGGAAATTGACTATATATCTCATGGTGATCAAATTAGATTAAGCATGTGTCCGGCAGTGGGTAGCTTTGGATTGATGTTGATGATCTCAAAGAGTACCATAGTGTCCTTAGCACACTCATATAAACAATATTACAGGATTTTTTCAGTTTTATTAACTAAATCGATGGTTTGGAAAGTCGTATATTATTCACGAATTTTAATTATAAGTTTGTACAATGTCTGATCATAAAACATTAGAATAATTCGTAACCTATCAAAACGAACCTTCAATAGTCTGTATTCTTCATCAGGCAGCCTCCTGGTGACCGTGTAGCCGGCGAGCACCAGTCCCCCTACCCTGGGGTCCCCGGACATCAGCATCATGTACGTCATAGTGATGGCCAGCTCAAACACGTAGTACGAATATTGGATGTCCCCAAAATCGATCACTCCTGATATGCGATAATCCGATGCGCTAGAACCATGAGAAATATACAGTTTTTCTATAGCTTCTATAGATGGATGGACGAGCTCACGGCCCACCTGATATTAAGTCTTTACTGGAGCTCATATACATCTACAACGTAAAAGCGCCACCTACCTTGAGATATGAGCTCTAAGGTCTCAGTATAGTTACAACGGCTGATCCATCCTTCAAACCGAAACGCATCACTTCTTCACGGCAGAAATAGGCAGGGCAGTGGTACCTCCCACAAGATGTCCTACCACCAGTAATTACGAAAATTATAATTTTTTGGGTTTGATTTTTATTACACGATGTTATTCCTTCACCGTGGAAGTCAATCGTGAACATTTGTTGAGTACGTATTTCATTAGACAAATTGGTACCCGCCTGCGGGATTCGAACACCGGTGCATCGCTACATACAAATATATTGGACGTTTTATCCTTTAGGCTAAAACGACTTTAATTTCATTGCTTATAATGTAGTTCACATCACCGGTGATTTTTTTTCAAAACACTCCAAGCTTATCGTGTTTCGTAACTTCAAAACAAACTGTTGTTTTATGATAAGATACGGGCCGTCTCGAGCGACACGTCAAGCTTATTTTGTTGACTGTTAGCTGGAGATTAATAGGGAGAAGGAGCCCGATCTTTACCCTCGACATCTGTGGTGTGGGATGTGTTACAGTGGACACATTTACCGATGACACAAACATAATGTAACAAAGAAATAACTCATAAAAAGTGTTAAGCATGAGTAACTCTAAAGCATAACTTGAGACGGAACTGATGGTAGGACCTATTGTGAATCCGCGCGGGTAGGTACCACCGCCCTGCCTATTTCTGCCGTGAAGCAGTAATGCGTTTCGGTTTGAAGGGCGGGGCAGCCGTTGTTACTAGGTATACTGAGACCTTACAACTTATATCTCAAGGTGGGTGGGGTGCATTTAGGTACGTTGTAGATATCTATTGGCTCCAATAACCACTTAACACCAGGTGGGCTGTGAGCTCGTCGACCTATCTAAGCAATAATAAAAAATTAAAGTTTTTGCCTCAAACTCCCTATTTCTGCCGCGAACCAGTCACTCGTACCGGTTTCACCCGTTATATAATTAAGCCACTGCTACTAGCTTCAGTAACCACTTAACTCCCGGCGGACTGTGAGCACGTCAGTCCAGCCACAGCAATAAAAGAAGACCAGCGCTACTAACAGCACACCCCAGAATCCAGTATTTCCACTAAAAACTTACAAACGCTTATCCGCGGCATAATGTTTCTTTATTTATTGCATAGATGGGTTGACGAGCTCACCACAGCCCACCTGGTGGTAAGTGGTTACTGGAGCCCATAGGCATCTACAGCGTAAATGCGCCGCCCACCTTGAGATATAAGTTCTAAGGTAGCAGTATAGTTACAACGGCTGCTTCGACCTTCAAACCGAAACACATTACTGCTTCACGGCAGAAATAGGCAGGGCGGTGGTACCTACGGACTCACAAGAGATCCTACCACCAGTAAGCACACACATGTCCACATACCCAGCATCCTTCGGTAGAACAAGCACGTTCATCTCATTGATATCACCATGGATCACTCCCTTCTCCAGCTCGTCCAAGCGTGGCACCACAGCATACTTGAATTCTTCTATCACCTGTAGCCAACAAATAATTTTACACCTTCGAACTTAAAGAAGAATGAGACAAGTTAAAATGGAACTTAAAACAATTTTTTTAACAATAAAGAAATCGACTTAAAAATATATATATGAATATTCTCAACACAGTCGAAGTCACAAATACGTCATATTTAAGGAAAACTCCAACTCTCCCAGACAGATCTTGATGGAATTTAACATTGTGAAATAAAAAAAGTGTTATCAAATCGGTTCAGCAACACAAAAAGGTCTAAAACTTATGAGAATACCTTCGATCAACAATAGTGACATGAAAATACAAAATACAAATAAAATGAAAATAAAAAATGAAAATACAAATAAAAATACATTTGAAATGAGAGAACCTGATCTTTTTTGTAGTATTTTGCGTAAAAATAATCTCTCTCTTAAATCAAATAAAAATAATTAGCTATTTGTATATCCTTGTTCTCATTTCAGCCAGGATGGCAATAATGAAAGTGATTTCCTTTTAATTAGACGACCATTCCGGAAATTTGGTACGCCAACTCCGCTTTTATTAGTTTCAATTCATGATAACGTTTTGGCCATATTTCCGTGGCTTCCAGGCATGAAGGGGTCATTGCCGAGAGCTGATAGGTATACGACGTGTGCAGAGACCATCCTTGGAGCCGAAATGAATGAAATCGAGATAGAACTTTATGTTACATAGCTTTTGAATTGCACGCAATGGAACGCAAATGTAAACCGAAGTGCCGCGCGAGGTCGTCGACCCCACGGTCGCGGGTGACGCTACAATCTATTACCGGTAACCTTTAGGTACCGGTACTACTAAATATTAAGCAAATAAATCGACTAGTATGTATGTACATAGATACTTTAGTAAAGGTACATTTATTTTGGATTGTTTATGTAATATTTTTTTCTTACCTAAGCTGAGAGCCTTGAGAGGCTATTTCAGAGTCACCTTAACTAGTAGGTGAGCTCACGGGGCTCAAACCTGATGACGTTGCCAACACTAGCCCTAGCAAGAGCAGTGCTTCGCAGAACCTACCACCGGATCGGAAACGCGACCCACTGAGAAGATCCGGCGAGAAACTCAGTGGGTTGTGTCTGTGGGTTATTTATTTAGAAAACCACTTTGAGGATATAGGAATGTTATTTATTAAAGCTGCATAAACCATTATTACCTCTTCTGCTAAATCCAGCTTCTCCGAGTCCTTGATCACATACTTGAATTTCTCCAGCTCTGGGACCATAGAGAGCATCCACATGTGCTGTCTGCTGACCAGACCGGAGTGGTTGAAGTTCTGAAAGAAAACGCGGGTAGTCGATACAAAAATCTAACTCACACTTGAGATTTGCCAATTTGCCATATTACTGGTGGTAGGACCTCTCGTGAGTCCGCACGGGTAAGTACGTTGTAACTATACTGAGGTCTTAGAACTTATATCTCAAGATGGGTGGCGCATTTACGTTGTAGATGTCTATGGGCTCCGGTAACCACTTAACACCAGGTGGGCTGTGAGCTCGTCCACCCATATAAGCAATAAAAAAAAATAAAAAAAACCCTGCCTATTTTTGCCGTGATGCGTTTCGGTTTGAAGGGTCACGCCACGTTAACTGGTCCCGTGCTAAGTTCGTAAAGAACTTGTGTTACAGGTACCAGATAACGGAAATAAATGTAAGATTTTTATTATACACATACATATATTTAATTTACATCCATAACCCTGGAAAAGACATTATATTTATCATACAAATATCTTCCCTTGGCGGGATTCGAACCCGCGACCCCCTTGTGTAGTGACCATGTCACTTACCACTTCACCAGACGGCCGTTAACTATACTGAGACCTTAGAACTCATATCTCGAGGTGGGTGCCGGCATTTACGTTGTAGATGTCTATGGGCTCCGGTAACCAATTAACACCATGTGACCTATGAGGTCTTCCACACATATATGCAATAAAAAAATTGACATCATGGGCCTACATATCATTTATTAGATGACAGCTAATTGTCAATGCCTAGATTAAGAAATGAAGTTTTAACAGCGGCGTATTTAGACAATTGAAATATAGTTTAAAAAAAATTCAACTTCATTCATACGTAATTCTAAAACTTACAATGTCGTATCACCTTGGAATTACGCATATTATTAAATGTGTTCATTGTCAGTAACAATGCACCGCGATGCTATGTTAGTATCATAACAAGGTTAGACAAGGTTATACGTATGGAGTAAAGACCAGTAATTCTGAGATTAATATTTTATTTTAGATCAAATTTCATTTTTTTTTTGCTTAAATCAAACGAGTTGGCAACCTCACGTTAAGTCGTTGCCAGAGCCCATAGACATGAACAACGTGAATGCAACACAACTTGAGACATGAGTTCTTAGTCTCACTTTTTTACAGTACAACGGCTGCCCCACCCTTCAAACCGAAACGCATTACTGCATCACGGCAGATATAGACAATTTATTTATTGTAATCACTTGCAATCTACCCCAATTGCTAGCCCGGAAGGGTAGCTACCACAGTTCTGTGTATTTCCACTACGACGGAATCATATTCTCTGTATCTTTGGTAGGCAGCGGCTTGGCTCTGCCCCTGGCGTTGCTGAAGTCCATGGGCGACGGTAACCACTCACCATCAGGTGGGCCGTATGCTCGTCTGCCTACAAGGGCAATAAAAAACAACTGTTTTACAGAGTGAGATAGTTTTTAGGGATGTTTTTTTTCTAGTGTCATAATATTCATTGCAAAAATGAAAAGCAAGTTCTTGTGACATCTAACTTGAAATAAATTTATTGTTTGTGAATTTTCTATTCGATATTTATCGACAGCATTCCGCCGGCCCAAATCTTGCAAATGCTTACCTGCAATTTGTTATCCAGATTAGCGACAAATTCTCCGAGCTGATACAGGAGAGCTTCGGACAAGGGACAGTTCTTCAAGAGCTCTCCCGGTACATACTCCAGCAGTCTTACGGCGTGTTTCTTGCCTCCCAGGTCCTCGATGGAGTGTAGATGACCGAATATATTCCGTACTGGCTTGGGACAGGTCACGGAGCGAGTGGCTAAAGGATTAAACATAATTTATGGATCTTTGTGGGTAGAAGAGGGTTAACGATAACCTTTTCCCCTAATTAGACTTGAGGTAAATTATTGTATCTCAAGTATATCCGAATAATGTTAATTTCCATACATGACATAGAAAGGTAGCTTTAAACTAAAGTTACCAAACACCAACAGATAAACAATTAGCAGTTAATAAGTTAAGTAGTAATATAAGAATAATTATTCACACTTCATTCGGCCGTCGGATCTGACGTGCGTCGTTGCCACACCTCGGATATATCCGCCGTAGAGAGCCGGAGCTGTGACGAGCTGTGCATACGTAGGCAGAAGCAGGAAGCAGGAGGTAGGAGGTAGGAGGCAGGAGGCAGAGGCACATACAGAAGATATGTGTAGTCGTTACGCTCGAGTATTGAAACAGACTCATCGGAACACATATGTCACATATGTCTTTGAACTGACAATCGGTGGGGCACAAGCATACTGGAGTGGAGACCTCGTACTGGACGTCGTCAGACAGCCAACGAAGTGGACTGATGACCTGGTCAAAGTGGTTGATAGGGACTGGATGCGGAAGGCAAGAGACCGAAGAGAATGGGATGCATTCCAAGATACCTACACTCAGTATTGAATGGACACGGTTTGAAGAATGCAGAAAGAACACGTTGTTTCGGATCCTCCCGATCCACTAACGGTGCTTCTAGGTACCTCAAGCACCGGTCACCGTCCTCGTCGAACCCGTCGCTTGTGACGAAGGGCTCCACGAGTAAATTAACCCACACACAGCCCGCTGAGTTTCTCGCCGGTGTTTCCCGAGCGCTATGACATGTCGTTCTTCAACAAGGCTTGTGGAGAGTATTAAGCGGTAGGCAGCGGCTAGGCTCTGCCCCTGGCATTGTTGAAGTCCATGGGCAATGGTAACCACTCACCATCAGGTGGGCCGTATGCTCGTCTGCCTACAAAGGCAATAAAAAAAATAAAAAAAGTCTTCTCAGTCGATCGCGTTTCCGATTCGGTGGTAGATTCTGCGAAGCAGGGCTCTTGCTTGGGTTCGTGTTAGCAACGGCGTCAGGTTTGAGCCCCGTGAGCTCACCTAGTAGTTAAGGTTACGCTGATATAGCCTCTCAAGCTTAGGTAGGAAAAAAAAGCAGAAAGAACATCGCACGAAAGTAAGTATCGATCGAAAATTAAGTGGTACTCACCCAAAAAATTCATAATCTCATTTTGGGCCTCGACAACGCCGACGTTCTGCGAGTCAATCGAATTCATGATCTTGAGGACGTAGCCGTAGGGCGAGTGGTTCGTGATGAGCGGGTTCTTCATGTTCGGGTCCTCGGTCAGCTTGTAGTTCTTGTCGTCGTAGCCGTTCAGCTCGGTCAGGTCCAGCACGGATATCCCGTAGAGACGCTCGGCCAGTAGCTTCACCTGCTCGTGGTCGATTATCGGACGGATAACCTGCCCCGGCTCCAGTAGTAGCTTCGCGTCAGTCATATTACCTGTCAACTAACCACAGACATTAAGTCCTTACCACTTACCATAACCCCACTTGACGAGTGAGTGTGCCAAGCCTCAGTTCGCAAACTATGGAGAACCTCTGTCAAGGCTGTAATAAACAAGGATTCGATACGACCACACCTGCTCTGTCAAGAGTAACCGACTATGATGATGATGATCTGAAGAAACCAGTTTTTTAGAGCTCCAAATTCTTGAAGCACCATTTTTTTTATTACTCTGATCGGTGAACGAGCTCACAGCCCACCTAGTGTTAAGTGGTTACAGGAGTCCATAGACATCTACGACGTAAATGCGCCGCCCACCTTGAGATATAAGTTCTAAGGTCTCAAGTATAGTTACAACGGCTGCCCCACCCTTCAAACCGAAACGCATTATTGCTTCACGGCAGATATAGGCACGGTGTTGGCACCTATCCGCGCCGACTCACAAGAGGTCCTACCACCAGTGAATTTGAATTGATTGAATCTCTTCCAGAGATCTAGAAGAATCTTCTTGAAAATGCCGATCCAGCATGTTGTCGTTTAGTTGGAATGCAGATTGCTTGACTTCCTAACGCCAGGAAAGTAGTTGGGACAACAAAAATACTCCAGTACGCTGGACGGTTGAGATAAAGGCACGGTTACAGAAAAGTTCATTTCGCTCTTTACTTTAAATATATCAAAAGAGTATTAGAAATGAGGTATTATTTTTAGAAATTTATGTACATAATACCCACAGTAGTAGTATATAAATTTCGTAAAAGGTGCCTCTAAAAATAATCTCGAATGATCTTAAACACGAAATGAACTTCAAAGGTATCTTTCTCAAAATAATAAGATTGTACAACTAGCGCTCTCTAGCGGTGGCTGGGCGTAACGAACATCACATGATGACCAAACCGCATTATTGTGATTGATTTAGGAAAATTGTCCTCAATGGAAATAAACTTACGATCTTTTTGAAATGGAAAAATAAATAACGAAGATTTTTTTATATAATGAATAGTTTTAGTCGATTGGGCTTAGATGGCGGCTTTGATTAGAAAATTAAAATTATTTTGCGTTAATTTAAATTTGTTTGCCTTTGGTATGGCGATAACTCACTAATATATTTTTATATCCTAACTATAGCATTTTATTAACAATTCATTAAGTATAGCATTCATTATTGAGAAGGTAATTAAAACAATTCACTTTGGCAATTTAAGATGAAATTATGACTTGTTCTCAAACCGCGGCTAATAAACAAAACATATAATAAAATTTACCTTCAGACAAACAAACAAACAATTTTCGATCAATACAAGCGTACCGTTGCACTCCTGGGTGTGAACTGATGTTTGAACCACACGGCTACAAGTGCGGGATCATCGTTTGCGCAAGAAGACTAGATAAAACACGAGAAGAGCGCCTTATTAGGTTCCGCGATAGCAATTGATTACCATTGCTGGACTCAATAACGATAGGTATTTTATAATCCGTAGGTAGACATGCGCGCGGGCTGATGATGAGTAGTCGCCGTCACGAAGCCAAGCCAACTTCTGAGGACTCCTTTCAATTACTTTACCGATGGTAAGACCTCTTATGAGTCCGCGCGGGTAGGTACCACCATCCTGCCTGTTTCTGCCGTGAAGCAGTAACGCGTTTCGGTTCGAAGGACGGGGCAGCCGTTGTAACTATACTTGAGACCCTAGAACTTATATCTCAAGATGGGTGGCGCATTTACGTTGTAGATGTCTATGGGCTCCAGTAACCACTTAAGACCAGGTGGGCTGTGAGCTCGTCCACCCGTGGAAGCAATAACAAAAAAATAAAAATAAAAAAAAGGTAGAAGTGCGGTGTCACCATCGCGAAGCCAAGCCAACTTCTGAGGACTCCTTTCAATCCCTTAATACGTGATAGAAGAATATCATTTCCCTTTGTGGCCTAACCTTTGATTCCGTCACGCGCATGCGCGCCAAAAAAATCGAGGAGGTCATGATCCCCGCCATAAGAAATAAGATTGTACATTATTACATAAAAATAAACATTTTATTATTTTACTAGCTTTTGCCCGCGACTTCGTCCGCGTGGAATAGTTCACATATAATGCTTTATTTTAGAACAAATTTGGTTAGCATAAAAACCGTTATAGTGAGCCAACCTTAACATATAGACATATGCTGTCGCGGACTTTTTTTTAGATATTTTAAAAGGGAACAATTCTGTCATACATTATTTTAGCGAAACTTTAACCGTTTTTGCAGCGCACGCAACGGAAGCTCTCAAAACGGAAAATACCCGATTTTAGAACACTGAAAGAATTTTTCAAATCAGACCCGTAGTTCCTGAGATTAGCGCGTTCAAACAAACAAACTCTTCAGCTTTATAATATAAGTATAGAAGTATAGATATAGATTTAGAGCCGCCTTTATTTAAGCGTGATAAGCCGACTTTAAAGTAATAGCTAAACTATTATGACAAAATTGGGAGTACGTGGTTTGTACGATGTTAATCAGTAAAGAAACGAATGATTTATCGACATGATTTTAGCCGAGGTAGTTTGAGGGCGGGAGAGTGATAATACTATGTTTATTCTTGAAATATTAATTAATAATTTGAGGAGCATCAATCCACCGTAACAAAAATACAACAGAGTAGAATAATTTGCAATTGTAACAATTGTATTGCGCCACGTAATAAGACCCCGGGTCCGCTTCACAATTGGTAACGTCGTGATTGCTTTGTTGACATCTATTAATGTCCTCCCGCTAACGATATCTGTTAGATGGAAAAAATATCGTGGAAATTTCTTGTAGAATTTTACAGAAATTGGGCAGATAGGTAGGAACCTAGTCATTTTATTTATACTCCTCATTGTTCTAAATCCTGTACTATGGATTGAGGTTAGATTCGAAGGTAAAGTCGATATCTTTTATTTATTTATTGCTTAGATGGGTGGACGAGCTCACAGCCGACCTAGTGTTAAGTGGTTACTGGAACCCATAGACATCTACAATATGAGTGCGCCACCCACCTTGAGATATAAGTTCTAAGGTCTCAGCATAGTTAGAACGGCTTCACGACTGCTTCACGACAGAAATAGACAGGGTGGTAGTACCTACCCGTGCGGACTCACAAGAGGTCCTACCACCAGTAACTACACAAATTATAATTTTATTAAAGATCATCATTAAAGATATTTCATATTTTACATTTACTGGTGGAATGAGTAATGCATTTCGGTTTGAAGGGTCAAGCAGCCGTTATACTGTAAAAACCTTATAACTCATGTCTCGAGTTGGGTGGCGGCATGGGCAGTTACGATGTAGATGTCTGTCTATGCGCTCCGAAAACCAATTAACACCAGGTTTGCTGTGAGCTCGTTCACCCATCTAAGCAATAAAAAAAGAACTACAAGGCTACGATGACACAGGAGAAAGTTCTGGTGTGTGTGTCGGTAAGCATGTTTTTCTTTATCTTATATCATTTAACTCGCTACATAGAAACGTTTTTTTTTTTATTGTCTTTGTAGGCAGACGGGCATACGGCCCACCTGATGGTGAGTGGTTACCGTCGCCCATGGACTTCAGCAATGCCAGGGGCAGAGACAAGCCGCTGCCTACCGCTTAATACTCTCCACAAGCCTCGTTTGAAGAAGGACATGTCATAGCGCTCGGGAAACACCGTGGAGGGGAGCTCATTCCATAGCCGGATGGTACGTGGCAAAAAAGATCTCTGGAAACACACTGTGGATGACCGCAGTGGCTCCAGGTAGTATGGATGAACTCTACTCCGGTGGCGGGCGGTGCGATGGTAAAAGCGAGATGTCGGTATCATCTCGAACAATTCCTCAGAGCACTCCCCATGGAACATACGGTACAAAATACAGAGGGAACCGAAGTCCCTCCGCAGACCCAAAGATTCCAAACGATCCGAGAGAATGGGATTATCGACAATCCGAACGACCCTCCTCTGTATGGAGTCAAATGGAAGAAGCTGGTTTTTATTGCGTAAACAAGGAAACGAGCCCACAGCCCATCTGTTGTTATGTAGTTCAATTATTATTACACCCTCTGATTTCTTTATTCGTCATTCGTGAACATGTGTTAAATAAGTACTTACATATTTCATTAGAAAAAAAAATACCTGTCTGCGTGATTCGAACCCCGGCACTGTCGTATCGCTCGATACGAATGTACCGGGCGACTTATCCTTTAGGCCACGACGATTTCTACTTATTTTCTCGGTAAGTCAATTTCTCTTGAACTCGTATGACTTATATTTGCATAGTTTTTTTTTGCCTTTTTAGTAGGACGAGTATACGGCCCACCTGATGGTGAGTTGTTACCGTCGCCCATGGACTTCAGCAATGCCAGATGCAGAACCAAGCCGCTGCCTACCGTTAAGTACTCTCCACAAGCCTCGTTTGAAGAAGGACATGTCATAGCGCTCGGGAAACACCGTGGAGGGGAGCTCATTCCATAGCCGGATGGTACGTGGCAAAAAAGATCTCTGGAAACGCCATGTGAATGAACGCAGTGGCTCCAGGTAGTATGGATGAACTCTACTCCGGTGGCGGGCGTTGCGATGGTAAAAACGAGATGATGGTATCATCTCAAGCAATTCCTCAGAGCACTCCCCATGGAACATACGGTAAGTCCCTCGACCCATTTGTCTGCGAGGTTGAGAGCTGTAACTGTTATCGTTCAGAATACCGTCCTGTCCACATCTATCGCAAACCCAGCTGCTTTTAGAGCAATCGGAGAGTAGTTATCTATACTAATATTATAAAGCTGAAGAGTTTGTTTGTTTGAACGCGCTAACCTCAGGAACTACTTACTGGTCCGATTTGAAAAAATCTTTCAGTATTAGATAACCCATTTATTGAGAAAGGCTATATATAACATCACAGTATGACCAATACAAGTGGAGCACCAATAAAGAATGTTTCAAAATAGGGACTTAAATAGCTCCTTAACATTCTATAATTCAAAAATATTTCCACTTTCTACGTAAATGAAGTGGGAGGTAAAATTTTGTGTTATGCCAAAGTAATTATTTCACGCGGACGGAGTCGCGAGCAAAAGCTAGTACTGTAGTGTGTAAACATTCAAGTATGTGTACAGCCTTATTTAAAGTGCTTCTTCAGCACTACTGTCTTACTGTCTTGTAACTAAATACATATTTTACACAATAAACCGGACTTTCGAACTGAATGGACGTATTATTTACTCTCTGCTAATCCATTGTGACCAGACCACACAGTACTAATATATTTTATCTCCAGTGTCTGAGATAGATTTTTCATTGATTCAGAATTAATAGAAAGAGTCTGTAGTACTACAAACTTTAGGTAGCCTGGCTTTAGTCAGACACTACAGCCGCGAATTATGCTTCAGTTTTTTTTTTTTTGTAAATGCGTAGTTCATTAGTACATATGAACCAGTCGTCGCGTGCGAGTTCACCGACCTCGCAACGAGATGTGACAGCCGTATCTAGAAAAATGATACAGATACTGTGTTTGCTTATCACGGATTTTTATGTGTGAATAAACAATGTTTATTATTAGACTTGATGTTATACTTTTTTCCCTATCTTAGCTGATAGCCTTAACGCCGGTCGAGAGGTAAACAGACCGGGCTATGTCGGAGTCCGGCGCCTCCAGAAAAACAGTACAGAAGTAAATTACAACAATCTTCAAGATTTTATTGCTTTTTTGTAACATCCAATGTTAATAAAGAAGCGGCCTGTACTCTGCTCCAATCTTCTTCAAATGAATCTCTCTTCCTGTCAAAAACAGATGAAAATCCGTAGGTACAATAGTCGTCGTGGCCTAAAGGATAAGACGTCCGGTGGATTCGTGTTGAAGCGATGCACCGGTGTTCGAATCTCGCAGGCAGGTACCAATTTTTCTAATGAAATACGTACTCAACAAATGTTCACGATTGACTTCCACGATTTCGAGAACAGCTGGACCGATTTGGCTAATTTTGGTCTTGAATTATTCGTGGAAGTCCAGACAGGGTTTAAAAGGTGAATAAATATGAAAATGCTCAAAATTATACAAAAACAAACAATTTTGTTTTTCCTTTGATGTGTCCACCGTCGGACGGATTCCTTTTGTTTTTTTTTAAGTTTATTTTATACAAAAGCTTAGGTTGAGGCACTACGAAGTCTGCCGGGTCGGTTAGTACCTACTAAAATTATCCTTCGGAAACCTTATTCGCTAATGCGCACTCGAAGTTGACTCTCGAAGTCCACTTAACTTGGCCGGTCCATCCCATGCCCTTCCACCTTGTTAGGGCTAGTGTCAGCTAATTTCCTCCCTTTTTACCCCCCGTAAGCTTGCACACCGAGCTGGCGAAACTGGAGTAGCTCTTCGAGGCT